TTGTTATGTACGGATTGATCCTGTTTTGATGTGCAGTGTTTGACATGTTTTGAATATGCTGTTTATTGATTTCCTAGTGTTGATTGATGCTTGTATCGAATAACGTTTGTATGTTATGATACCAACACTACATGGATGTTATTGTCATGCTTTTAGATGATGTTATCAAGCATGAATTATGATATAACTTGATATGATTGGTTGATGTTTAATAGTATGCTGAGTGGTTACATACTATCCATATCCTGTTATGATTGATATTGTTGATGTTGCATGATATGTTTTCTTGATGTTAATAGTATGCTGAGTGTTACATACTTTACATATCATGTTGTATTTGTTAATTCCCATTGTGTGGAATTAACATGGTGGCCAATATACGTGTCCGCGATTTAATGGAACGTTGAGGTGGTAGCCGTGTCCGCGATATAATGGAACGGTGAGTTATCCGTGACCCGAGATTTAATGGGGCGGTAAAATGGTACCACATGCATGGGTGTGTTGCATTATATTGAATATAACATGAATGGATGATTTTCCAATGTTGTATTTAATTGATCGTATGCATGTATTGTTGCTAAATTGTTAATGATGTGTGATGTTAATTATAAGTACGAAAAGTAATATATTATGAACATATGAATTGTAAAGGTTTTCGTAAACTATGAAACATGCTAACTGTTGGGTGATGCTTATGATTTTTCTGAATTGATCGTTATGAACGTATAATCAAATGTATAGTTGAGATGCTCACCCTTACTGTTGAATATTTCAGATTGAGGAGCTTCGTTCAGGTGCTTGGCGAAGGCTTGTTGTTTCTAGTTTATTTCCGTTTAAGTATTGTCCGGGTCATGCTCTGGTAGTTGTAACTCCGGGAACGTTTGTTTGTCGAGCTGCTTTAGTCAGACTCGTTTATTTCCTTATGTTTGTTATAATATGATGTTGATATTTTCCAGGTGTTAATCCCTGATGATTTTAAAAATATTATAACATTGGTTTTGTTAATTAAATTATTCCGCTGTGTAAACATGTATGAGTTGCTTCTATGTTATGCATGACAGGAACTTGTTTTTATTAAAAGAGAATTGTGACATCCTCGTTAATACATGTACTCTGAAATTATAATTTTAATTATTTGCGAAAATTTATTTGGGGTTTTAGAGGGTGTTACACTGTTCGCGTTGTGTCATCGGGCGACAGAGGTTGTGTCGCCGGGTGAAAGTTGTATCGCCAGGAAAAAGTGGAGGCGAAAGGGGGTAGAGAAGATGACGCTTCTGTAATGCGTCGCTCCTAGCGTCGCCAGGCGACGGGGGTGTGTCTCCAGGCGATGAATGGCAGAATTGGATGGCTATTTTGGAAATCTTAAAATGATCATAACTTTAGTTCTAGAACTCTGTTTTATGTTTTGTTCAAAGTGTTGGATAATTAACACGATGAACTATAATTATGTGGAATAAAATGAAGGATAAGAAGGATAATTATAATATCTAAGTTAGGATAGAATTATTTCCCCGCGTTGAATCGCTATGATGTCTTATGATAATGAAGTATGATGATGATGTGACGATCTTATGATAGTACTTGGTTCATAATGATGAGTATATGATGTATATGATGATATGTTGGTTTATATGAGGGTGATATGATGTTGTTTTGATTCATTTGATGCTATGATGATGTTTGTGATGATTCATGAATGGTGATGCGTGTTGACTAGTCGTGGTAATATTATTTATGATGTTACGTATCATTGCATTCATAGAATGGTTTAGGACTTCAGTCCAGTGAGGGTGATTCAGACTTCGGTCTAGTGATGATGGTAGGACAATTGTCCAGTGAAGGTAATAATTCCATAATGTGGATTGGGTGCAACAGTGAAGTGATCTGATTCCAAGTGGGAATCGATCCTATTGGTGGGGATCCTTGGAGATTGAAGATGACTGAGTCATCAGTCACGTTTTGGTACCACATGCATGAGTCTATGATGATGCATTACATTCTATGTGACATTGCATTCAATGTTTTTTGTTGATGAATGATGATACTTTGTATGTGTTGATATATGTGTTCTTAATTGATGAATTGGCGAAGGTGTGAGTATAACATGAAGATATGATGAAGCATGATACCTTACTTATGTGCATATTTTTATATTTTCTATAACTTATGTCATATATAATGATTATGATTTACTCACTCTTTCTGTTTGAATGTTACTTCCACGTGGGTAACGCGCAGGTGATCAAGAGTAGTTTGTAGGAGCTTAAAGGATAGCTTTAGGATGTGTTTTATTTTCTTTCAGTAGAATAAGGGAATCTTGCTCTGATATGTAACACCGGGGTTGGGATTGTTTGTTGAGAACTATATGTCTCTGTTTACTTTGATGTTTTCTAAATTGCCTTATTATGGTATTGATATCCGAATTGGATCATGATGTTTAACTTGATGAATTATATGAGGTATCCGGATTATAGATGTTTTGAGATTTATGATTTCCGCTGCAATAATTTGAGGATGATAAATGCATATTATTTGGTTTATAGTTTTGCAACCCGTGTTACGGAGCAGGATGCATTATTAAGATGTTTTTGTGAAGATGCGACACCCTTGTTGGTGATATTACTCTAATTTATTTATTTAAATAATTGTGAAAATTCCTTGGATTTAGAAGAGTGTTACATTGCAGTCAGGTGTTCTAGATGAAAGCATACAAGGCACAACAAATCAACATATAAGGTGACTCCAACTACTCAAGGTACTCAACAAAGTGTACATGGTTCTCAACAAACACATAGTCCAAATGAAGCTACTCAAGGGTCTAAACATGCTCTCAACCTTACTCAACCAAATGCTCAAGGTTCTCAACAAACACATGGTCCCAATAAAGCTACTCAAGGGTCTCAACATGTCGTCAACCTTACTCAACCAACTGCTCAAGGTTCTCAACAAACACATGGTTCCAAGAAAGGTACACAGGGTTCCAAGCAGGCAACATCAAGTGCTACTGAAAAACTAGGGAGTCATGTAATATCAACACTAAGAAGGCCAAGTAAGTTGGACCAACTACAAGACTAACTGCTACCAAGAATATAATTGGCCTAACTACAATGAGGACAACTCCAACTAAGAGGACAACACCCAAGAAAAAACTTAGATCTATTTAAGATGTCATTTTGAATTACTTTCATTTTGTGTAATGGTCTTAACTGATATATAAAACCAACTAATGTCATTTTGTGTTATGCTTATGTATGTCATTTTGGATTGTTGTCATTTTGTGTAATGGATATGAATGTCATTTTGAACAAGTTTATGTGAATGACAATTATGTGTTATGTTAAAATTCTATTAATTTCAAGTTTATGAGTTAATGCATAATTGAACAATTGAACAATGTTACAATGAACAACTCAACTGATACAATTGAAATTATGTGTTACAACAATCAACTGATTAGATTGAACTAATATAATTGAACAATTGAACAATGTTACAATAATCAATTGATCCAAACCAAAGCATTTCAATACAACATAAAAAACCAGAACTGTTACAAGGTTCAACTAATTTGGAATACAGAAAAAACCAGAACTTAAACATTTCACTACAACTTAAACATTTCAATTCATCGTGAACAAAACTAGAATTGTTGCACCTAAAATAATAATCATCTAATATTTTTTCAACTTCAGAATCTTATTCATCTCATTTTGAAGTTGAATCATCTCCTTCCTTAATTCTTCATTTGTCAACCTAATTTTTTCAATCTCCATTGTTGCATCATCCTATTTATTTGATGACTTTTCTAATCTAGACATTATAATTTGCCCTTTGTCATCTTGAGCTTCCTCATAAAACCATTCAAAATATCCACACCCAGGTTGCCTTGTTCCCTGCACTTTACAATTGATTACTCAAACTGTAACGATGGAGATAAAAAGCTCGTATGTATCACAAATTTACCTTAAAATGAGAACAACCCCAAAAATATTTTCCACAGCTCTTTGTCGTTGAAAACCTACGAAGAATAATTGTGTCTCCGCAATGACAACTCAGTTTCCATGAAAGATTTGAGCTCGTGGACACACTGGAGTTCAGACTTTCATGGCTTTTCTGTTTCGTGGGGGATGAAGCATAACCTAATTTCATGGAGGATGAACCATAATATTCAATTTTTGAAAATCAAAATCAACCTAATCTTAGATAATGGATACGAATAGAGAAGACGGTGTTAATGAAATAGACAAGGAAAAAAGAAGGAGACAAGTCATGTCAGTATGCAGACACAAGCGTCTATTTGCAATAAATAGACGAAAATGATTTATATATTCTGTTTTTAAGACCTAAGAGATTTATTTGAACTTTTTAAAAATTTTAAGTTTTTTTTAGTGAGTTACTTAATACAATACAAATAATAAAATATGTGAAATTTTTAAAATTTAAGACACGATTCAATTAAGATATTTTAATAAAAAATTAAATTTATAAATGCACACTACATAAGCATAAATAAATATATAAAAAACTAAAAATCATTTAGTGAATTCAAACAAGTGTTTTTGACTCGAATTTGTTACATTTAGTCGTATCACACATTTGTGGCACGTTTACTTTTAATATAAAACTTAATTCTCGGATCCTTCCCTTACACGTATCAATATATTGTCGCCTAAACTTCTATCCTTAAAGAAAAAATAATAAAATTTTAATCTCACTATTCAAAAAATATAAAGGGTATTGTAGCTCTATAGTATTCTTTTTCAAGACTTGGTTTCTCTCCTCTTTTATTGCCGAGTCTCGTTCCATCATTGACTATCTCTCTTACACACACTACTCTCTCTCTCTCTCTCAAGTCTATGTCCCATACCCCTTAGTTTCATATGGCCAAAGCACTTGGACTCTCCATTGATTCAGATCCATTTTTATAGCTTCCTCCACCATAAGCCTATAAAATTCTTACTCTTTTCCAAAAACCACTAAAACTTTCACTACTCACAAAAATGGATACCAACAACAACAAGAACAAAAACTATAACACCTCTCCACTCTCTCATCATCAAAACAAACCCATCATTCATGAATTCGATTTTTTCTCTCTAAATAGCACCAACCATGCATCTACTTCTGCGCCTCCCTCTCATCATTACACCCCCTCTTCTCTTCCTGAATTCAAAGTAAACGTGAGTCACCCTTAATCTATATTCTATTCCATTATTATCATTTATTTAATTTTTTTTTGGCATGTATATGATATTGGTCATGTGTTTAAGAAAAATGTGATGTTTCAATAGACTAGTTTGAATCTTCTTACCACAAACACAAGCAGTGATGAATCCAAGGTGGAACCTGACATATCAACTAATTCGGAAGACAAAAAAGTAAACAAAATTCAGTAATTTGATGAAATTTTAATTATATTTTTTATGATAGAGTTTTAATACAATCTAATGATGTTTCAGGTTGTTGATCTTCAAGCTGAGCTTGAGAGAAAGAAGGCCGAGAATCACCAGCTGAGGAACATGTTTGATGAGGCTAAGATGAATTACGAGGCGCTGCGCATGCATATGTTGAGTTTGATGCAGGAGGAGAGAAAGGTAGAGGATTGTAAAGAAGAGGAACAAGATGTTGCGAATGACGATGAGGAAGGTTCTAAGGATGAAGAAGTTTTGTTTGATCATGATAACAAGGAATCTGATCGCGGAAATGAAAGAAATGATAGTCCTTCAAACCAAGTTTTAGGTGCTAATAATAATGATACTAATAATGTTTCAAATTTTAGTCCTCAAACTAATGTGGAAGAAGCTGAGGCATCAATGAAGAAAGCAAAGGTTTCAGTTCGAGCTCGATCTGAGGCTAATATGGTACTTCAATTTTGTTGAAGGAATGGAATTTATTTTTTGAATTTTATCTGATGTCAAATGTTACTTGTTGTCACAGATCAATGATGGGTGTCAATGGAGAAAGTATGGACAGAAGATGGCGAAAGGAAATCCGTTTCCTCGAGCTTATTATCGATGCACCATGGCTTTAAATTGTCCTGTGAAAAAACAGGTAAGTTATTAGATGTAAAAGTTGTTAGTTATTTATATCTTATAAGTTTTTTCGCATCATAAGTTGTTTTCATAAATTTTTTCAAACAACAAAATGTGTCATAACTCTTGAAATCGATAAGAATCACAATCAAATGCGTTCTTAATTGTAGTACTACCGATGTATGCATGGAAACATCAAAAATATGATCTCATCCTCGTAACCTAGGTCGTGCTCGCGAACCTTGTTTTAGAACCCTTATTAAAGTCACCAAGTTGTTCATTTCTAACCAAATATCAAATCTATGACAGGTACAAAGGTGTGCCGAGGACAAATCGATATTGGTAACAACATACGAAGGAAATCACAACCATGCTTTGCCACCAGCAGCTATAGAAATGGTACAACAAACATCATCAGCTGCAAGAATGTTACTATCAGGACCAATGACAAGTCCTGATGGACTAATGAATCCAAATTTTCTCACAAGAACAGTGTTTCCTTCTTCTTCAAGCATTGCAACTATTTCGGCATCAGCTCCATTTCCAACCATTACATTGGACTTAACTCAATCACCAAATAATCCATTACAGTTTCCTACTCAGACATTGTTTAATCACTCACGATTTTCAGGACTTCAAATGTCTCAAGATGCAGAAACTTCTCAATCTCAACAGACATCACAGAATCTTACAGCTGATCCTGACTTGACTGCAGTTTTGGTAGCTGCTCTTACTTGCATGATTGGGGCTCCACAACCAAACAATAACAACACAAAAACCAATAACAATAATGGAAATGTTATATAAGTAACAATGCCAATGAAAGAAATAAAAACAACAATTTATTTCTATTTCTGAATATTTTTTAGGGAAAACAAAAAGTTGGCATGAGTTTTTTTCGCATTTACTCAAATTGGAGTTATAGTTGATTTTTTTTTATATATAATTAGTTTTGTCTTCTTTTTTTCTTTCAAATAATTTATTTGTTCAAATTTTGTTCTTTTTTAAGGATGAATTACGGGTGAATAAATGAGATGTTGTGAAATCAAATTCATGTCATTTTTATTTTTGTCTGATGTTTCTCAATAACTATTTAACTAATATGAGTTAATGAGACATATTTATTTATATGTTAGTATTATTCTGAATTTTTTTTTGGAATAATCAGGTATTAAAAAAAATTCACAAATAACTATATTTTGAAAAAAATTACGCAAATAACTATGTTTCAGATGACTCCCCCAGATGAGGAGTCATCTCACTTGGCGCCTACACCTACCTTTTAAGAGGAGGCGCCATCTCACTTGGCGCCTACACCTACCTTTTAAGAGGAGGCGCCATCTCACTTGGCGCCTAGGTGCTTAGGGCTTGCCCTAAGCCAAGTGAGATGGCGCCTTAGTGCATTTGCTAGGGCAATTTTCGCGTTTTTTTTTCCAATGCGGTGCATTACGTATTCGATATAAGATCAACAAAATTGACTTTTTATTTACAAAATATGATTACACACATAAGTATTACATAAAAAACAGATTAATCAGTGGTCCCCCGAAACTCGGTAATGACCCCCGGTTCCGCATCCCCGTCCTCGCCTTTCCTGTGCTAGGTTTCATCGCGTTTCCTGATGTGGCAGAGTCGATAGTCCAGCGAAGTCAATACATTCTGGATCCATGAAATCAGTCAGATCTCCATATCTAAAAGATCCGCTTTGGTACATTCGGTTACCCATACCCTCAAAGTTTGGTCGTGTTGGCGGTGGGTGGGGTTCCATGGTTGGTCTGTAGCATTGGTCGTCTGAGTACGGGGGTAGAAAGAAAATGAATCTTGGGGTGTTTGGTATTGAGGATGTTGGGTGGTTTGGTGATATTGTGGTTGATGGTAAGTTGGGTCGGTTGGTTCATAATCTTCCGACATTCTCAGATCAGGGCTAAGGTTGGATGTTGAGGGGCCCATATTGGGATATGCAGAAGACTGAAATTGTCTGTGGGGTATGCGGGTGTGTTGGTATTGTGATTGAAATTGCGGTTGAGTGTGAGGCATATGGGGGTATTGGTACTGAGGTGGTGATTGTGGTTGGTTGTGGGGCATTTAGGTGTAATTGTATTGTGGTGGCGACTGTGGTTGGGTGTTTGTGGTTCTGTTTCGTCTGGGGGGTTGGTGGGAGGTTGATGTGTGTTGGGTTTGTTGTTGGGGAAATGAGGGTTGTGCCCATTGTGTTCGTGGGTCAACCAAATACCTTGGATGAGACACGTGCATTTCAGGGTTACTAACCGACCTATACCAAGATAAATATTGATCTGTGTGTCGCATATTATCATGATTGAGGAAAACCGGTAATTGTAAGACATGTCGGTGACGCCTCTGCCACATCTTACACCATTCTGGAGCAAAGTCTTTCCAGTTGGTAAGACCTCATTGGGCGTCGACCCTTTTGAGATGCCACAGGGACAAACAAGTCAGATCGCTGGATATCTCTTGATGCATTCCGAACTGCATCTTCACACGATCGTTGTGGTGCATCTCCACAACATTGAACTGTATGATTGTAGTCTTGGCGCTCCAAATTATTGCATCCTCGGGGTTTGGTTCATGGCCCAAACCCAAATATAGTCTCAAGACAAACTGCGCATAAAATTAAATCAGATTAATGAAAACGTAATATATAAATAATTTAAAAGTAGAAAAGTTGAAAGGTACGACGTACATCTTCCGGACCTAGGTGATCCAATAGATTACGATATAGTGCGGCATTGAATATTGGATTCTTATCGTAATCCATACCCCTCACGCAATGCCTAAAGGAAATGAAAAAAAATTATTTTTATCATATATTTGGTGAAGAGATGAATAGTAATAAATGATATAACTTGATGACTTACTTTGTTGCGTACGGGAAAATGAATGTGTTGTTGTTGACGGGGTTTAGGAACTCCATCCTCCACCAACCCCAGGCTTGAAGTAAAAAAGCGCAGCCATAAAGTGTACATTTTTCCTTGATTTCATTTTTACACAATGAACTCTATAGGTGGGCTAAAACAGCAAAACCCCAACTATACTTTCTAGTTTTTTCGAAGTCTCTAAGTAAATTTAAATACATAAAATTTACACTATTTCCCGTACTTTCGGGAAATAAAAAGGTTCCAAATAGTATCATTATATAAGTTCTAGATTTTATCACCTTGTCTTGCTTGAAGGAATTTTCGTTTAATTCCAAAGTCGCATAATGATTTTTAAGCTCAATTAGTAGTATACCCTGACCTCTCGCACCACCACCTTCAACCATATCCCTGTCCAACAATTCTTCACACAGAGAATTGGGTTGTTGAACCGACCCATTAACGGCCTTACCATCGACAGGGAGACCCAGTAACATGTACACGTCCTCTAGCGTGACGGTACATTCACCTATTGGTAGGTGAAATGTATGGGTCTCTGGTCTCCACCTTTCCAACATTACAAGTATGAACTTTGAATCAATTGTGCAGTTGGAGATCTTTATAACATGTTCGAAACCTGCGTATTCCAGATATGGTACGATCAATAGGTCGGGAGCAAGGTAGTTGTGAGACCGGATTCTGAATCTTTTAGTATCCTGAGTTAATAATGTAAAAGGTGTAAGATTAAGTAAGATGAACAAAGCATTACCAGAAGTATGAAAAATGTATAACTATAAAAGAAACTTACAAATGCTGCAATGTTGTCCCTTGTGCCTCTGTGAGAATCTCCCAATGTGAGAAGAGCCATTGTTGAAAATGGCTGAGATTATGAAAGACTTTGAAATTGTAAGAGATTATGAAAGAGTTTGTAGCAGAGAGTAAGACGATTGTGGGTGCGAGAGAAGTATGTTATGCTCTGTATTTATAGGCAAAAAAATTTCATAGAGTAAGTGAGGTGGTAGGTGGATGCATGCATGCATGATAAGTGTCACTCTTGCATTGTAGGTGCAGGCTACGTGGCAGACTTGGAGAAGGAATTTCTGCATCCATGTAACACGATTGGACATGAAGGGAGGCTCCATTGGACTTGGAGAAAGAGTACAAAAATGAAAGGTGTCGCCATGCCCATTGGCGAATAAGAGGTGGCATGGGTTGTAGAGTAGGCGCAGATTAGGTGACAGCCTTGGAGAAGGCATCCCTGAATGCATGTAATACTATTGGACGTGATGGGAGGAGCCTTAGAGGTTACAGTGTAGGTGCAGAGTAGGCGCAGGCTAGGTGGCAGGTTTGGAGAAGGAATCTCTGCATGCATGTAACACGATTGGACATGAATGGAGGCACCATTGGACTTGGCGAAAGAGTACAAAAATGAAAGGTGTCGCCATCCCCATTGGCGAATAAGAGGTGGCATGGGTTGCAGAGTAGGCGCAGGCTAGGTGACAGCCTTGGAGAAGGCATCCCTGAATGCATGTAACACTATTGGACGTGATGGGAGGAACCTTAGAGGTTACAACCTTAGTTAATTCAAATTCAGTATGACCTATTTAGTCTTACATTTATCAAAACACTGATTCACTTAATCTCTCAAACACTAGAACATTCAAAAATTCATGTAAATAACTCATAAACTTTAAACCTTCCAACCTTCAAACCTTCAAACAGTCATACGCAATGGCCTCTGCACCCCAATATGTCATCAGTGCACATTTCAATTGTGATACATACATTTGTCCCACCTCTGGGTTTTTGTTTAGAGACACAGACAATATTCAATTTTGTTTAAACAGGAAAGCTAATTTCTTATACTTCAAAAAACGATTGGAGGCCAAACTTGGACGAGGCCCGGTGACACAAATATTTTATCAGAATCTAGTTTTTTTTTTGTAACAACCAAATGATATTTTATAAGGTTAAGGTTCAAGATGACGAGGATCTTCAGAATATGTTTTCCAGTCATGAGTATTCTGGGTACGACTCTATTGAGTTGTACGTTATGCTGCGAGAGCCTCAGGTGACACAAGTGGTTGATCCTTTGGAGACCGAACAAGCAGAAGTAGATGCAGTTGATGAAGAAGAAGAAGATGATGAGTTGGAGTTTGACGAAATGGTCAATGATGATTCTGAAGATGATGGGATACCTGGTATTCCTGCAAATGAGATCTACACACCACCTCCGCACATGACAAACTTCAACATGGGCGGAGATGAACCGTCTTCTGATTTATTTTTCAATCCGTATATGCAGTCGGATGAAAACTTAAAAGAGAAAGACAAATTTCGTAACAGAGAAGAATGTATCAGAGCCATAAAAAAATTCCACATGCTCAACTCGGTCTATTTTAAGGTGGACCGTGTAAATCCAGAAAGGTATAAGATCAAGTGTGTCCACCCTGATTGTATGTTCAAGCTCACTGCATCATACAAATTAAGAGGTGATTGTTGGGTCATAGGTTCCATGTCTACCTACACTTGTGCCATTTCTACTCAATCACAGGATCATCGAAAACTTAATTATGATCTCATTTGTCAAGAAATCCTACCACTCGTCAGCAACGATCTATCTTTGAAGGTGAAAACCATCATCTCCCACATCACTACGGTATTTAACTATACTCCGTCTTACCGTAAGGCGTGGTTAGCAAAGAACAAGGCGATTGAAAAGGTATATGGAAACTGGGAGGAGACATACCAAGAACTTCCTCGCTACCTGAATGCACTCCAGACTTATTCTCCGGGTACTGTTTACATTCTGGAAACAGTTCCAGCATACACCCCGGATGGTGGTCAACTCAACAGAAATGGAATATTCAGTCGAGTGTTTTGGGCTTTTCTACCTTGCATCACAGGGTTTGCGTCATGCAAACCAATTATACA